ACATCGGAACCGTCTTTGCTGTTGTAAGTGTTTGCGTGACTAAAGGCTGTTATTTCATGTCTGAAGGGCTCTAATAATGTTAAAAACCGTATTTAGAAGGTCTTAAACATGTTGTCTATGCTCTACCTATGGAAGTATTTCCCTTGTAAATAAAGAATCCTACTTCGCGGAAATTCACTCGTCGCGGTAGAAGGCACGTGTGGTTGCATGTGATAACGCCCCATGAGTTTAACTGATAGTAATAATCGGTCAAAATTCATGCGGTCGGTTAACCGTTAAACGGTCAATATGAGTATCCCTAAGTATAATCACATTGTCAGCAACCGTTAAATATAATGTAACGTTAGTATTCGTGATCAGAATGCGTTTAGATCTATATATGTTGCATGGCAGAAAACGCATTGTGCTCCACTTTAGGAGGTTAACGCTAAATATCATGCATTTGCAACGTGTTAATATTTATGTTTCTAATTAAACGTTAAAGGCATAAATGTTCTGCAGTGTTTTGAAATCAGCAAATTTAACCTGCACAGAAGCTTGCTGGCCAATGAGATAAAACATTTATTTCAGTGTCAGTGAGATTCTCTGAAGAAATTAAATGTAAGATTATTTTATATTTGATTTCACAGTGACGGTGCCAGGACACTTTTTAAAAATTAGACTTATTGTCTAATTTAAATAGTCTGTGTAAATTTTGTCTGTGTATAATATTTTGTTATTTACAGCATAACTGTTTTTGGTTATACTGCATGCTAATACTATTTGTATCGAATTAAATATAATCTTTTGTCAGTGTATGTGTATATATATTTTTTATATACTTGTTATATACTGCATGCTAATACTATTTTCAGTCACATGTTTTTTTGTTTTTTTTATAGATTTCAAGTGAGATAATGGACTGGAAGTGCAAATTGTGTATAAACATCTATCGTTCCAGAGTCCACCTCCTCAGACACTACAGAGTAAAGCACAGCATCTGCTCTAAAGTAAATCCACTGCCATGTGTCTATCCTGATTGTCCCTGCATATTTCCAACACACAGTGCACTCAAAACTCACTTGCATAGAAACCATGTAGTAGATACTGGTACATGTCAAAGTCAGACAAACATTTCATTTAAATGTAGTCTGTGTACACTAGAACAATCCATTTCTGAAGATGCTCTGTTTAGTCACCTCAGAGCCCATTTAAAAAGTCATGAGACTGTTGTTTGCCCATATAAAAATTGCAATTACAGCACCAATGTCTATTCTACCTTCAATACACACAAGAGTAGGGTACACCATGGTGGTTGTCTGTCCGATTTACAAGAGGGTGCTGGCTATCCAGATACCCAGCCTCTCTTTTTTACTTCTGATGCATGTGATGTTTCAGAGGAACCTGAAAGTAACATAAATGATGATAATAGAGACATCGAGGACATAGATGATGTTAATGCATTGAGAAATCAGCTGAAACATAATGTTGCCTCTNCAAATATGGACATAGCCATAAAAAGACTACAGTTTGTGAAACTTGGCTGCTTTGCTCATACACTCAATCTTGCAGCACAGAGTCTCTACTGTTAGACCTGAACTTTCTTGAAGTGGCAACAGCATTAGATCTGTACTACATTCACAAACCAACAGACTATCCTACTGATTGGCCAAATAATATCACGTCTCTATCACACGGTATATTTCAGGCGTGACAGATTTAAAAAACTATTCAATGTGAGCCCTTGGCATGGCGAATAAGGAAGTGTGGTATGGATTTTGTAGTGACACATTTTTACTGGTCAAGGTCTTATGTAAAATTTGGAAATATTAGTAAGAGGACAAAACTTTACGATCCCTACCATTCACATAAAAAGTAGATCATGGAGGTCTTCAAGACCAATAATGATATATGACAGCATTAAAAAAAAAAAAACAAACAAACAAAAGAAAATCATGTACACTGTGATGATTTACAACACCTACCCATTAAACCTGTAATATTTACAGAATTTTGAAATTTGAATTTTGAAAATGGATATATATTTCCAGTTTCAAAATTTTGTAAATATTAAAGGGTTAATGAGTAATCTTAAACAACAATTATAAACCATTGTGGGAAATAAAGATTAGGTAGGTTGGTCGCTTAATACCCACACGTTTCAGACAATGCATAAATCTTTGTGATTCTAGTTACTGTCAATTCTGTTGGCAGTTAACTATTGTCACGCTAAAAATGTACACTGTACAACCAGAACATTGAATTTTTTGAGCTAAATATAGTCTGGATTATCTCCATAAATGCTTAATTAGGTATTCCTCAGCTCTGATTATCAAGGATCAGAGTCCAGCAAGTATTTCTCTGAAAAGTAAAGTGGACGTATCATCTTAAAACACTCAGAAGTACATTATACTGCCAAACGTATTGGGACACCTGACTTTTTACACACACACACACACACACACACACACAAGGGGTGGCACGGTTCACAAAACCCACGGTTCGGTTTGTATCACGGTTTTAGGTTCTGTAGGGTTCTTGTTATTTTTTCTTTTAATCTTTAACACTCCAGAAATGTACTTCAGCATATGATATATAGCTTAATTATCCACAATTTAGGATACAGTATTAAAAAAGTTATATCATGTAATCATGCATCATGAATTTGACTCATCTTAAAGCACATTATTAAAATTATTAAACATTATTAAACCCAGAACAGTAATAAAATAAAAGTCTTGCCTTAACATA